CCACGCAATGCTAAGTGCCGGGTCCGATCCCCTCGAAGGAGAAGACAGCACCTGAGTGGCTCTGCAGGGAGCTAAATGGGCTTAGGGTTTTGGGGCTTAGGGTTTAGGGTTTAGGGTTTACGGTTTAACCCCAAAGCCTAAGCCCCAAACTCTGCGCTCTCAACGCTAACCTGCATGCCTTTCAACATCCCCGATGACGATTGCATTCAAAGGATTCTGCCAAGGCGGAAGTTTGAAAAAGACATCCAAGTTGGCACCCACTCATTGTCCCTGAAACCCAAAGCCCCTAAAGCCTTCAGCCCTAAAACCCCAAAACTTCAAAACCCTGAGCCCTAAACCCTAAACCCTAAGCCCTAAACCCTCGATCATCCATGGGCTTGCCGGCGTTTTGAGGTGCAGGGGGCCTTCCAGAGTCTGAAGACAAGACCATTCTGGGGCTTGTAAACCCCCAGCCCCTGTAAACCCTGAAAGCCCCGTAAACCCTATAAGCCCATCAAGCCTGAAAGCCCTATGAATCCTACAGGCCCTAAAAACCTTATGGGCCACCCTGTGATTCTAACCCTAAACCCTAAAAAACCCTTGAATCCTAAACGAAAACCCCTAAACCTTAAACCCTAAACCCTAAACCTTAAACCCTAAACCCTAAACCCCAAATCCCTAAAGAACCCTTGAAGGGCTGACAAGGTCCTGGGCCCCAGGCATCCGAAGAACACGGGGAACTCGGCCCAGTTGAAGAGGATGATGTTCGGAGCGATGCCACTCGTGCCTCACTAGTTCATGGTTGGGATGATATGCCATGCGCTTGTCCGGCGGTCGAGCCTCCTGCAAAACTAGACGTTCTTCTGCGGAGCTTCTGTACAACAGACTTGGTGGGATGATATTCAAAAAAATAAGTGTTTATTCCTTGTAGGGTTTTTAAGTACCCTTAAAAATTTAAGTGTTTATTCCTTCTAGGGTTTAAGTAGCCTTAAAAAGTAAAAATGGTACCCAACTATGACAAAGCTCACTGGCGCTTAGGAGGGAATGGGGGGGGGGGGGGGTTGAGGGTTTAGGGCTTAGGATTCAAGGGCTTTTCGGGTTTAGGGTTTAGAGTTTAGGGTTCAAGGGTTTTGCGGGTTTAGGGTCCGGGGTTTAGGGTGGGAATGAGGGAGGCAGCCAATTGCCCTGTATAGAACCCCTTCAAGGCCATTCCAGGTACCCAGCTCCCTCATGTAGGCAGAAGGGGTTTGCAAGCCTCGCCACCCCCCCCCCCCCTCCCCAACAAAAAAAAATTGGGGTTTGGGGTTGGGATTTGGGGTTTGGGGGTTAGGGTTTAGGGCCTTCTATGACGCTTGGGCTCCACAAAGGCCCTGCAAGAACTCCTGGACGTCGGAACAGATGGCAGCGGCATGCCAAAACCCTACACCCTAACCCCTAAACCCTAAACCCTAATCCCCAATCCTGACCCTCAGGCCTGGACACCTCGGGCTCAACATCTCGAGACCCAGGGCCCTAGGCCCCAAAGCCTAAAGCGGTAAACTCCCTACGGCCCTAAGAGCCGAAACCCTATAGGGTTTAGGGTTTAGGGTTTAGGGTTTAGGGTTTAGGGTTTAGGGTTTAGGGTTTAGGGTTTAGGGTTTAGGGTTTAGGGTTTAGGGTTTAGGTTCATGGGTTTTACTGGGGCGGCTAGCCGTACACGAAAATCGTTCCAGTTAGAAAACCCAAACCTCAAGTCCTCCGGGCCCCCAAGCCCCAAACCCTAAACCCTAAGCCCTAGAGCTTGCGGGCCTAAACCCTAAACCCTAAACCCTAAACCCTAAACCCTAAAGCCTAAACCCTAAACCCGCCCGCCACCCCTCTCACCTCTGTTGGGTAGGCGGGCGCAGTCGAGCGCTCAGCGAAACCATGGCAGGCTCTGCTTGAGCTGCAGAGCCTGCCCACCGCACTGAGGAGTCGCCAAGCTTGGTCGCCAAGCATAGTCACTGCAGAAATATTATTACCCTAAAACGTTTCGCCTTCTGGGGCCAAGCCCGCCCTAATTCTGGGAGGCCCCTGGGAGGCCTCTGGCAGGGCCCTGCGAGGCCCCTGAGAGGCCCCTGCAAGGCCCCTGGGAGGGTGTTGGGAGGCGCCTGAAAGCCTCAAGCGCCTGAAAGGCCCTGAAAGAAAGACCCCTGAAAGGTTCTTGGGAGGCCCCTGAGAGGCCCCTGGGAGCCCCTGGGAGGAATCGTTGATTTTCTATGAGAGGGCCCTTCGCAACAACCTGAAGGGGTCTCCTTTGTCTTGGGTCAAGTGAGTCCCAAGCTGCAACCTTTTCACGCCTGAATTTTCTATGAGAGGTCCCTTGGACCCAGACCGTCCCCTTCGCAACAACCTGAAGGGGTCTCCTTTGTCTTGGCCCCAAGTGAGCCCCAAGCTGCAACCTTTTCACGCCTGAATTTTCTATGAGAGGGCCCTTCGGCCCAGACCGTTCGCAACAACCTGAAGGGGTATCCTTTGCCTTGTGGCCCCAAGTGACCCTCAACTTGCAACCTATCCTCGCCTGAGTTTTCTATGCCCTTCAGACCGTCCCCTTCGTAAAAGCTTAAAGGGGTGGCCCAAAGTTCCAAGTGACCCAGAAGTCAATCCTTGAAGGCTTGGACTGCTCGCTGGAGCTTCCTCGTCTTCGAGATTTTGCCCAGCCGTTCGAAGTCCGAAGTTTCTTCAGCGTCCTCTCATGAGAATATGCGACGTATGAGTTGTGAATGGTTGGCTTGGTTTGGGCTGGCTCCGGTTTGGTTTCGCAGTGAGTTGTGATTGGGTGGCCTTGGGGCGGGCATGTCTTCACACTATTGCGTTCAGCTGACCCGTGCAACACCCTAAACCCTAAACCCTAAACCCTAAACCCTATGGGTCAGAGCTGCGACTTGAGGGCTTCAGCAAGTTCCGAACTCCTCACCCTCCCTTGGCACTTTCTGAGCCCGGAGCCTAGCTGCACGAAGCTGCAGTAGTAGATCCACGAGATGCCACACCTGGGAGGGTTTGGGGTTTGGGGTTTAGGGTTTAGGGCTTAGGGCTTAGGGCTGAGGGCTTGGGGTTTAGGATGGGGTCCTACTATAAGGGGATCCAACTTTTTGGGGATCTATATTCGGGGTCCCTGATTATCGTAAACCCCCATATGAGGATCTTCTTGATTGTTAATGGGTCCTCTTGGGAAGTTTATGCGGATTTGGTTTTGCGTTTAGAGGTCTACTGAATTATTCAGAATTGTGAAGGGATGATAATGGGCAATGATTTTGGTTGCTGTGTTACATGGCCTTCTCGCGGTATGGGGGACTTTGAGGAATTTGGGATTTAGGCTTTTGGGGGACTTGGGGTGACGCGAAACGGCCGATGATGTGAGTTGCCATAGACCCTAAACCCTAAACCCTAAACCCTAAACCCTAAACCCTAAACCCTAAACCCTAAACCCTAACCCCTAAAACCCTTAAACCCTAAACCCTAAACCCTAAACCCTAAACCCTAAACCCTAAACCCTAAACCCTAAACCCTAAACCCTAAACCCTAAACCCTAAACCCTAAACCCTAAACCCTAAACCCTAAACCCTAAACCCTAAACCCTAAACCAAACCCTAAACCCTAAACCGGGACAGCGAGGCAGCCCCCGCACCTCGAACTCATCAAGGACTGAACCCTGAACCTTAAACTCCCAACGCCCAGAGCCGCAAACCCTAGAGAGTAAACCCCAAACACCTAGAACCCCAACCCTAAACCCTCTAGCCCCTAGAACCCCTAAAACCGCTGAAACCGCTACTAAAGCAACTAAACCCCAAAACCCCTACGCACCCCTAAAACCCCTAAACCCATCTAAGCCCCTCAACCAGGCTACTATGGTTTAGGGTTTAGGGTTTAGGGTTTAGGGTTTAGGGTTTAGGGTTTAGGGTTAGGATCTAGGGTACTGAGGCCTGAAGACTTAGGCTGCGGTGGCGCCAAACCCCAAAACCCGCAACCCCCGCGATCACAAAACCCCACAACCCCCTTACCCCTTTAAACCTAAACCCTCAACCTAGACCGTAAGCCCTAATCCCTGAGCCCTCAGTCCTAACCCCTAGCCCCTAACCCCTTACCCCTCAACCCGAAACCCTAAACCCTCAACCCCAACCCAGTGGAGGGCTTGAGGCCGCCACAGCAGCACCACGTTGGACATGAGCACCGGCACGGTTAGTACCTGCATCGGTCGAGAGCTTGATTGAGAGTTGAGGGTTTGGGGTTTAGGGTTTAGGGTTTAGGGTTGAGGGTTTAGGGTTTAGGGCTTGTTTAGAGGGAGTGTAGCGGGGCTTAGGGGGTTTAGGGAAGCCATTGCTCAGGGACCGTGATGTAGTGACGTGATCTCCTGGGCGTCGAACCCGGGAACGCGAAACCAAATGCTTCCGCCGAACACCCCAACAAGCATCCTTGCCTGTAGGGAGCGGAGCCATGTGAAAGGCATCACACAGATCCTCAGTCGACTTGCGGATCAGGGATCACGAAACCAACCCTGAAACCGCAAACATCCCTAAACTCTCCGTAATCCCTAAACCCCAAACCCCAAACCCCAAACCCTAAACCCTAAACCCTAAACCCTAAAACCCTAAACCCTAAACCTCACTGCAGCCGAAAGGCAAGGCCCCGGTGCACATCGCAGCTCGGGAAGGGCAGGCCGTGCGGGATGTCTCTAAGCACACGACGTCCCGCACGTTCTCCACCTCAGTCTTGGCGATCGGTTTAGGGTTTCGGGTTTAGGGTTTAGGGCTGAGGTCCCCGAACTTTGGGGGTTGTGGGCGAAGAAAGTGGGATAAAGTCAGCAAAGGGATGGGGGAGACTGCTACGAACCCGTGCAGTCCGCTTTCGCTCGCACCCGCTGCATGCTAGGTCTTGAAAGGCCGACTTTCACAGCACAGGCAACGAGACTGTTGCGGTCCTAAATGTCCGCAGATCTGCGCAGGGCGTCCTGCTGGACCGGCTTCAAGGAAGCCCCAAGAGAGCGAAGCTCGCCAACCTTTTTCTTAGTATGGAACATATGTGGACATCTCTTTGGTCAGTCCTTCCTTGTAGTACTCATCGTACCATCCGATAAACTTGTTGATGCCTTCCTGCAATGGGGTCGTGGGCTTGTAGCCAAGCTCTTTCTCTGCCAAGGACACGTCGGCGCTGGTCTTGAGCACGTCTCCGGTCGGGGGCATGGGGACATAGTTCTTAATCGCCTTCTTCCCTATCGCCCTCTCCAGGCACTCAATCATGTAGGTGACCGTCACCGGATCCTTGTTCCCGAGGTTATAGACCTTGCAGTGGGCCGTTTCCTTGGTGGACTGCGGGATCCTATCCACCGCCGCCACGCAGCCCGTGACGATGTCGTCGATGTAGGTGAAGTCCTTAACTGCCCAGTAACCTAGGCTTAAAAAGGGTGCCCTTTTTTTTGCTTAAAGGGGTTTGTAAGGGAACCTAAACCCCCCAAAAAGGGAAACAGGGTACTACTGGGCATCCTAGAGTCCCGCTCCAACTCAGAGCCCCCAGGGCCCTGGAAGATTTTCAGGGCCTCCCCCTTGTGGATCTTGATTGTCGCCGAGAAGGCGAACATGTCGGGCCGGCCCCAGGGCCCGTAGACCGTGAAGAACCGGAGCCCCGTCAGGGAGAGGCCATAGATGTGGTTGTAGGTGTGCCTCTACGGAACTTGGAACCCTAGCAAAAATCTCATCATTTTTGCCGGTTCTTAGAGAGTATAGTACCCGAAAATTAGAAAAATATTTCCAAAGTATCCCCAAGGTGCGCGATCATCTCGTTGGCCTTCTTGGTGGCCGCGTAGAGGCTCGCCGGCCGGTCCACCTGGTGCGCCTCGGAGAAGGGGCTCACGGTGTTCAGGCCGTACACGGAGCTCGAGGACGCGTAGACCACCCTGGGCTTGGGGTCGCAAAAGCGACACGCCTCCAAAAGATTCACGAAGCCGGAGATGTTCGAGGAGACATAGGATGCCGGGTCCTCTGGCTGGTTCTTAGTAGGGAATGAGGGAATGAGGGAATGAGGTACCCTGTAATCCCTTAAAGGGTATATAACCCTAAACCCTAAACCCTCTTGTAGGCCCTATAATTCCCTCATTCCCCACAAAAAGAAGCACAAGAAGTCCTTGGTGGCATATCTCACGCCGGCCTGGGCTGCTAGAGCCAGGACGTGCGTGACGCCGTACTCCTTCAGAATGTGGTCCAGGAAGCTTCGGTCGTTGAGGTCCGCCTTTCTGGGTCGCTAGATGGGCTGTATAGGGTATGTCAGGGGTATATGAGGGGTATATAAGGGGTTTCTAAGGGGTGTATAAGGGGTATATAGGGGTATAGAAGGGGTATATAAGGGGTATATAAGGGGTATATAAGGGGTATATAAGGGGTATATAAGGGGTATATAAGGGGTATATAAGGGGTCCGCCTTTTCAGGGACCCCTACTACGGGACCCTGTAACCCTAAACCCTAAGCTAAACCCCATAACTACCCCTAAGAGCCTTGAAGGTGTAGACGCCTGCACGCTCCAAGGTCTCCACCCGATCGTACTTGATGCCCACGGGGTAGTAGGCGTTGAAGTTGTCCAGGCCCAGCACCCCATCCCCTCCTCAGTGGGGATTAGGGTTTAGGGTTTAGGGCGCAGGGTTTAGGGTTTAGGGCGTAGGGTTTAGGATTTAGGGTTTAAGGTTTCGGGTTTAGGGTGTAGGGTTTGGCCCTTTAAAAACCTCTGACAGGTGTTCCCAGACTCCAAAATAAACCAACAGAAGGGGTAGACATCTCAGAAAAAGCCATGAAACATATCCCTAAACCCTAAACCCTAAACCCTAAACCCTCAACCCTAGAAACATATGCCAATGTCCCACCCAGCTGCTCTTCTTCAGAGCCAGCGCGCAGTGGAAGCCCACAAAGCCTTGGTAGCCCAGTTACCATATTACAATCAGGGCACCCTTTTTTTGGTTGGTTACTTTATAAGGGAACCCTAAACCTTAAACCCTAAGCCCTAAACCCTAAACCCTAAACCCTAAACCCTGAACCCCAAAAAAGGGAGAAGGGTGCCCCTGGGCTGCCAAGAAGCCCGCGGTCCCGGTGATCAGGATGACCCGACCCGTCGTGGACTTGCTGGACTCTGCCTCAGGGTTTGGGATTTGGGGTTTGGGGTTTGGGGTTTGGGGTTTAGGGTTTAGGGTTTATAGGGTTTATAGGGTTTATAGGGTTTATAGGGTTTAGGGTTTAGGGTCTAGGGTTTAGGGTTTAGGGTTTAGGGATAATTTAGGGTTGGTAGACCAGCAACCATGCCATGACAACCAGGGGTGGTGCAGTCACTCCGGTTTAGGGGGTTAATATTGAGAGACATCGAAGCAACCCTAAATCCTAAACCCCTAGACCCCTTGAACCCCTAATATATGGGCCTTTATAATTAGAATAGGGTTTTGGGGGTTATTATAGTATAATTACAAAGGGACCATGAGAAAACATTATTCGTAAGTGTTCCGACCCCTATATTAGGCCCTACACCCTTAACCCTAAACCCTAAACCCTAAACCCTGAACCCTGAACCCTGAACCCTGAACCCTGATGCCTGAACCCTGAACCCTGCACATCACTGGGAGCCAGCAGTGGCGATCTGAGATTTAGGGTTTAGGGTTTAGGGTTCATGGTTCAGGGTTTAGGGTTTAGGGTTTAGGGTTGTTTGCACTGCGTCCTTTGCAACAACCCTAAGCCCTAAAACCTGAACCCTAACCCCTAACCCCGAAACCTTAGACCCTAAACCCCAAAACATGAGACCCTAAGCCATCGTTGAGAAACAGCGAAGTAAATCTGGGTTGTTTGAGGCTTGAAGGGTTTACGTCACTTCAGGGCGGGCTTGGGTTTAGAGTTTAGAATTTACCAATTAGGGGCGGGAATTCCGAGTTTGGAGTTAAGGGTTTGGAGTTTAGGATTTAGGGTTTCGGGCTTTGGGTGTAGGGTGTAAGGCTTAGAGTTCAGGGCTCGGGGCTTAGGGTCTTGGGTCTAGGAAGTCTAGGAATTGAAATCCAGGTTTTGGGGCTTCGGGTCTACGGGTCAGGGTTTGGGTAGTTTGGGGGCTTTACCCTAGCTGTCAAGCTGAGGGGTTGCGACTTTCAGCTTCGGTTGTTGAGCTTGACTCAACCGTAAAGACCTACAGCCTAACCGCTACACCCTGAACCCTACATAGACTAAGCGCAAAGACCTACAAGTTAAACTCTAAACCCTGAATCCAAAAACCTGAACCCAAAAGCCTTCAACCCTAAATAAACAATAAGTTCTGAGTCCTATTCCCAAAACCCCAAATCCTAAACCCTACATCATCAACTCTAAACCCCAGGGCCCAGGGTCTAGGGTCTAGGGTTTAGGGTCATTGCGTTGGGTGGAAAGTTTTTGAAGGGCTTTGGGGGGGATCGGGGTTTACAGTCGGGTTTCGGGTTTTTGGATGACGGCGTAGGATTTAGAGCTCTAGGGTCTACAGGGCTCAGGGCCCAGGGTCTTGTTTTAGGTTCCCTTTTTTGGGTGTTCGTTACATCTTCCAAAATGAACCCAAAACCAAACAGGGCAACAGGGCACCGAAGGTCTGCCAAGCTGCCGCCGTCAGGCCTGTCTTCTGGTACTTTGCGGGGGGGCCATCTGTAGGCATGGCAAGAGGCGGCGGGAGGGTAAAGCTTGAGCCCAATGGTCTTCACCAGACCACTGCGTGGGGAGCGGGAGATCCCGGCGACGCTGAGACGGGGGTTTAACAAAAAAGGGACCTCTGATAGAAACCCCTTAGTATGTTTTTCGTTACGACAAGGACCCCAGTAAGGTACCCCTAATTTTGGAAACCCCAAAACAGTGCGACAGCTCTGCCCCACAAAGCACCTCCGCTCAGACCCGGGCAATGAAGATGATGTCCTCAGTGAAGGCTCACTCTAAACCTGAACCTAAACCCTACACCCTTGACCCTAAACCCTAACCCGAAACCCTAAACCCTAAAACCTAGACCCTAAACCCTAAACCCCAAACCCTAAACCCCATGCCACCCATACGCGCTGCCCAGGCACAGCTATGGCAAAGCCATACTGCGTGAGGATGAGGCAGAAGTCCACTAAGACCTTCGCCTTGCTGGTTTAGGGTTTAGGGTTTAGGGTTTAGGGTTTAGGGTTTAGGGTTTAGGGTTTAGGGTTTAGGGTTTAGGGTTTAGGGTTTAGGGTTTAGCGTTTAGGGTTTGGGTTTAGGCTTCGGGTTTAGGGCTCATGCAGAGATGTAGGGATTAGGGCTTGCGAGAGCAGCCCAGTGAACTGAGCCGTCACTTCAAATCCTAGCAAACCCTAAACCCTAAACCCTAAACCCTAAACCCTAAACCCTAAACCCTAAACCAAAAAAAAGCAGGCTCACAGTTCCGGCTCCAATTTTGTCCCAGCGGCCCGTCGGCCAAGGATGCTCGATGCCAGGGTGCCGAAGGACCTGCCCCAGTGGATTAGGGTTTAGGGTTTAGGGTTTAGGGTTTAGGGCTTAGGGCTTAGGGCTTAGGCTTAGGGCTTAGGGCTTAGGGCTTAGGGTTTAGGGTTTAGGGTTTGAGGGCTTAGCTAAAATATGGACCCGGGGTTAAGGCTTCAGGACACGCTAAGACCCAAAACCTTAAACCGGGGCCTCGAGGGTTTAGGGTTGAGGTCTATGCTACTATGCCAAAACACCGGGGGGGTGGCTAAGAACCCTGAGCCCAAACCCTAAACCTCAAACCCTTCAACCCTAAACAGCAGAAACCCTCAACTCCCCAAGCACAACCCTATAAGCCCTAAGCCCTAAACCCTAAACACCAGAGACGCGAAGCCAAGATTCATCTGCTCTTGGGTGCCACGGTCCTAACCCTAAACCCTAAACCCTAAACCCTCAACCCTAAACCCTAAACCCTAAACCGTCCACCCAGGCTCTTCGTCGCAGGGAAGCGCAAGAATCCTGGAAGCTTCGAGCCCCAGAAAACCCAAAACCCAAAACCCCTAAAACCACTCCAAACCCCGAAACGCCCTAAAAACCGAATGGGCCGCTAAAACCAAAAAAACGTTAATTGCAAAAAGGCTTCGAAGCACAAGAAGCCCTAAACCCATCTCAAATCCACAAGAACAACGACCGCTCAAAAGCTAGGATGGCCCTGGAAAGCCTCTGAAAAAGATTCCTAAATATGATCCTCTTACACAAAATCAGGGAAAATAAAAAAGTCCTCAGGGCCTCTCTAAACCCCGAACCCTAGACCCTAAACCCAAAACCCTAAACCCTAAGCCCTAAGCCCTAACCCTGAACCCTAAATCCGAATGTCCCACCAGGCCTGGTGCTCGTCCTGGTTGCCAGCTTGAGCAAAAGCCCCATGCCTCTGATGGGGTTCTTTCGGGTTTCAGGGGTTTAGGGTTTAGGATTTAGGGTTGAGGGTTGAGGGTTGAGGGTTGAGGGTTGAGGATTGAGGGTGCTTAGGTTTTAGGATTCAGGGCTCGGCTTCCTTCGCCCTCAACCGCCTGCAACGTGCGGCCAAGCAGCAATGATGTGACAGCGCTGCCACACACCTGGTGGGAGGTTCGTGATTCGGGTTCAGGGGTTTAGGGTTTCGGGTTAAGGGGTTTAGGGTTTCGGTTTTGGGGTTTAGGGTTTAGGGTTTAGGTGTTAGGGTTTAGGGTTTAGGGTTTAGGGTTTGGGGTTTAGGGTTTAGGGTTTAGTTTAGGGTTTAGGGTTTAGGATTTAGGATTTAGGGCTTAGGGTTTAGGGTTTGGTTTAGGGTTTAAGTTTCTGCCCCGTCCTAAATTACTGTTTTTGCTGGGGGGTTGGCGTAGGTCACCTTATCAACAAGCCCACTGGGTACTTGTAAGTGCCCATGAACCTCTAGGATGGCCCCTCTGAAAAAACTCTTGAACACGAGGGTTTAGGGTTTAGGGTTTAGGGTCTAGGGTCTAGGGTCTAGGGTCTAGGGTCTAGGGTCTAGGGTCTAGGGTCTAGGGTCTAGGGTCTAGGGTTTAGGGTTTAGGGTTTAGGGTTTAGATAGGGTTTAGGGAGACCCACTTGAACCCAATAAGGGAACTATAAAATGTCCCAAGGGCCTCCCGAGACTTCCAAGAAGCCACGGCCATGGACCTCGTGTGACCTAGCCCCCGAGTCGCCCAAGTCTTACGCCTCCCCCTGAACCCTTAAACCCTAAACCCTAAACCCTAAACCCTAAACCCTAAACCCTAAACCCTAAACCCTAAACCCTAACCCTAAACCCTAAACCCTAAACCCTAAACCTCCATAGGCTCAAGGACGCCGAGAAGCACGAGACCCACGGGCCCAAGGATGAGGCCGCCCTTGGCCTCGTCTGACTCAACGGTGTCGGGTTCAGGGTTTAGGGTTTGGGGTTTAGGGGTTAGGGTTTAGGGTTTCGGGTTTCGGGTTTAGGGTTTGGGGTTTAGGGGGTTTAGGGTTTATGGGGGTTTAGGGTTTCGGGTCCAGGAACCTAGCTAGTAGAAAAGGGCCTATTGGATGTAAATGGGTTGAGGGTTTAGGGTCTCGGGTTTAGGTTTTTGCGGCTGGTCTATTGCCAAGTGCACTGTTGCAAGAATGCCCTGCCCGCGCAGAACCGGAAAAGATGGGAAATCTGGACATGGCCGAATGTGATGCTGCGCTGTTGGGTCTTGTATGGACTATCCCCTAATCTATATACCCCAAAATCATAGAATCCAAAGTATCTCCCCCCCCCCCCAAAAAAAAGAAAACTTCGGGCTACCATGCTACTTAGGATCCGCGACCCTAAGCCCTAAACCCTCAGGGTTCAGGGCTTTGGGATCTCCCGAGCCTTCTTGGAGAAGCCCATATTTAGGGCGTTTCCGAATTGAGGGGGGGGGGGGGCGTGGGGGTTTACCCTAAACCCTAAACCCTAAACCCTAAACCCTAAACCCTAAACCCTTTTGGGGGTTCCTACAATAAGGATTCGACCTTTTTTTTTTTTTGGGGGGGGGGGGAATATTCAGGGTAACCCTATTTTTTGAGGAAATACCCAATATGGGCCCGACCAGCATCCTGCGGGTTCTTAAGGGTTTAGGGTTTAGGGTTTAGGGTTTGGGGTTTAGGGTTGAGGGTTTAGGGTTTAGGGCTTAGGGCTTAGGGTTTAGGGTTTAGGGTTTAGGGTTTAGGGTTTAGGGTTTAGGGTTTAGGGTTTAGGGTTTAGGGTTTAGGGTTTAGGGTTTAGGGTTTAAGTGGGGGGGTTCAAAGGGGGGTAGGCACGGAACCTTAGGGAAGCTTCGGGAGGAGTCGTAGGGAGCATTAGGGAACCTTGGGTTACATACCCCCCCTTGAAACCCCCTCTCTTAACACCACCGTACAACAGACGCAAGGCCTCAGAGCACACCACTGGGCCACGCACCGTTGCAAACGGCAGTGTCCTGAGCCACGGGCACAGGACACACCCAACCTGAAGCCGGATGAGCCCAGCAAGTTCAGCAAGATCAGGGATCCCATGTTTCATTCTTTTTCTGCCGGCCGCCGAGAATTGCGCGTCCGATGGCGCGAGGCGCCCGGCTGCAAGCCGCAGGCAGTTCCTTCGCCGAGCTTCAGGCTCCAAAGTCCTCAGAAGGACAGAGTCTGAAGAGCAGAACGAGCTGCGCCGCAGTCGGACGAAAAGAGGTTACGGACAGCCAGTCTCAGTCAAATAAAGAATGCCGTCCCGAATCCGAATACTATGCCGTTGAACTCTTTGTACTATCTATTATCTATGTGTATATGTATAAAAAAACAGAAACAAATATGTAATATACATATATATATATATATACACATATATATATATACATATGTATGTGCATGCACATACACATAAACATGGACGTACACATACGCATACATGTGCATGTACGTATACATACGCATATACAATCATATACATGTACAGACAAAACAGGTAGATAGATACAGTAGATAGATATTCTCAAACATCGCAACCCTAAACCCTAAACCCCAAACCCTAAACCCTAAACCCTTAACCTTAAACCGTCAGCCCGGATGCTACAACGGAACTCTGAGAGCACCGCAGCCTCCCCGAGCTGATCCCCAGCCCCAGAGGCACACGTCCTGGCTTGGAGGTCCACATGGCGGGGGGGGGGGGGGGGGGCGTGGGGGTTTAGGGTTTAGGGTTTAGGGTTTAGGGTTGAGGGTTGAGGGTTGAGGGTTTAGGGTTTAGGGTTCAGGGTTTAGGGTTGAGGGTTGAGGGTTTAGGGTGTAGGGTGTAGGGTTTAGGGTTTAGGGTTTAGGGTGCCTTTGGTGGTCGGGTGCGATAAGGCCTTTTGGGAGCATCTTGGCCCTTTGGCGGCATCTTGGGGGTTGTTGCTTGTTGTTGAATTCATGTTGTGCTGCGAGCTTGTTGGTGTTGGTGCAAGGGAACGTGAAAACAGACACCCCCTAGTCCTGGACTTGAGCGTTTAGGGTTTCGGGCTTCGGGTTTAGGATTTAGGTTTGGGGTTTCGGGCTTCGGGTTTGGGATGTAGGTTTAGGATTTAGGGGAGGCGAGATCCACGGCCTCGCCGTACACACCAGACGCGAAGGCCGGGAGTGCCGAGCCTCGACCTCACGGGGCGGGGGGGGGGGCGGGGCCTCTCAGTAGGGGAACTTGCGTCAGGATCCGTCCTTTCAGGTGCTGACACACACACACACACACACAGATATATATATATATATATATATATATATATATATATATATATATTTCTATGCACACACACACACAAACACACCGCACTGGAAGAACAAGGAGACCTGACACGGGCAATAGTGCCAAACACATCATGCCGGGCGGCTGATGTAGGCCCGCAAAGCCTCTCCACACTGAGGGTTTAGGGTTTAGGGCTTGGGCGTAGGGCTTAGGGTTTAGGGTTTAGGGTTTAGGGTTTAGGGTTTAGGGTTTAGGGTTTAGGGTTTAGGGTTTAGGGTTTAGGGTTTAGGGTTTAGGGTTTAGGGCTCAGGGCTTCGGGTTTAGCGCTCAGGCCTTAGGGTTTAGGGTTTAGGGTTTAGGGTTTAGGGTTTAGGGTTTAAGGGCGCTGAACCTGGCTGTTCCGTCCCTGGCACACAGTCATTAGCCCCTTTGCCCACTTCTCCCCTCCTATTCTCCTCGTCCCCTTTCGCTGTCTTTCTTTCGATAAACAGGAGGGAATGGCCTCACCCAACCCCTTCTCGCTCGAGTGGCTCTTACTATACTCCCCTCAGAACCTTAATAAGGAAAACATCTTTAATGTCCTCTTGGGTTTTATATAAAACAAAAACTTAAAAAAATCCCAAGGTGGTTATAGCTTACAAGAAAGGTGCAGATGGCCACTGCTGCAGGCTGGAACTTGTGCCTGTTTGAGCTCTGCGGCTGGGTCAGGCTACATACCAAACCCTGAGCCCCTTGAGTCGTAAAGCTGGAGGCAAAGCATGAATGAGCTTTCGAGCGTTCAGGTCATCTCATCCATCAAGCGACCTCCCGAAATTCCAGGGTCCAACAAACACCGCATTCGAGTCCAACTGCTCCAGAAAACCCTAAACCCTAAGCCCTAAATCCTATAAACCTATAAACCCTAAACCCTAAACCCCCCCGAAACTTACCCTGGCACATTTGGGGCTCTCATGCACGCGAGGCAGCCTCACCACCCTCCACGACGTCCTGCAGATGGAAGCCCTTGAAATGGGCCGTGGCCACTGACAGGACCTCGGTCTGCTCAGGATCCTCAAGCCGGAAAACGGTTTAGGGTTTAGGGTTGTGGGTTTTGGGGTTTTGGGTTTAACGGGTTTACGGTTTAACTAAGACATGTTTCTGGATGCTTCTGAGCTATCAGGGCTCTGGATGTTTTTGAGTCTCTTCCAGTCTGAGCACAGATGCGCACGGATCATGGGATTGGGGCGATGGGCATTGCTAGTTTAGTCCAGGCTGCTGTGCTCCTTCGCGACGCAAGAGAGGGGGTTCCAACCCAAAAATCGAGCACCAAAACCCCTGACGCCCCCCTAAACCCTCCTAAACCCTCCTAAACCCTAAACCCTAAACCCTAAGCCCTAATGCCCTAAACCCTAAACCCCAAAGGGTCACAGAGGCCCCTGAGGCCGCCACATACAGCTTTGGAAGGATGTCACCTCAGATCTCGGGGGCCTTCTGAGGTACCCATCACAAGGCGGCACCATAAAAAGGGATAGCAAGGACCATACAAGTTAGGGAACAACGCACGTGCCGAACTGTTGTTGACAATCGATCTTGAACAGACCCCCTGCCGGGTGGCCACTTCGTGCTGATTTGGCATGTAGCTTGCGTCTTCTTGACATAAGGGCTCTAAGGGAACAAGGTTGACAACTGCTCAGGCTCCCCTGGAACATCAAGGGGGTTGGGTTTGGTGTTGAAGCTTCCGGGTTTAGGGACCTAACATACTACCTGCCAAGCAGCAGTCCAGTAGAGAGGGCCTTGCATGCTTTCGCGGAACTGCAGAACTGCTGCGAAAGGCTCTCTTTCTTGCACGACTACAAATGCTACTGGATGATCCACTTGGTAGCCCAGTATCCACACTATAGTACGGGCACCCATTTGTGTGGCTGGTCGTTACTTTATAAGGGAACCGAACCGTAAAGGGTACCACTCGGCTACCAAGTCCAAGTTCACTCCGATCACCTAACTAGCCCCATTGGACGAGCCCTAAGCCCGTAACACTAGGAGCCCTAACTCTGAACCCTAAAGAGACGGGTTCAGGGTTTAGGGTGTAGGGCTGAAGGTTTAGGGTTTAGGGCTTAGGGCGTCTCGCTACCCAAACCATGACCTTTTAGGGTTTAGGGCTGCTGCCCTCACTTCCCACCGTCAAAGACGCTTCAAATCCAACACACTTTACAAAGCAGCGGGTCAGGGAAGGCTAGGGGGGTGGTCAGTGGAGGGTGGGGAGAGGAGAAGGCGAGCACGCTTTCAATTTCCTACAGGAAGGTAACAGTGCTCGGAAGGAGGCCGTGCGGCCGTCACGCAAGAACAACGCAATTCACAAACTACGCGTTCTGAGTTTTCCGCATCAGGTGGAGTGGTAGAAGTCTACATACAACTCGAAACCGGCACTTGTTCGCTTTCCCGTGTCAAGGCGTGGAAAAGCGGAGAACACAGCGCTGTCAAGTAGCACGTTTGGGGTTTGGGGAGCATGCACGACGGAGAGCGTAATCTGTGGAAATTGCGGTTTGAAACGGGCACCGCCGAAGGCTGTGTACATGTAGCAACACCAGTCTTGATCCATGTGTTTGCAGCAACTCTCTGACAGCCAGAGGCCATTGGTCAACATGCTCTGTTGCGACAGGAACAACCAGAACCCTTCAGCTGAACCGCGAGACCATCATGCTCCTGCTCCCTTTTAGAAGGCTTGGGAGGGGGTGGGGTTAGGGCTTAGGCCTTTTTCGTCATGTCTTCTCTCCTTAACACATGCCTCTGTTCAACTGTGTCAATGTTTCGCTCGGCCCTGAGCATCTTTGGAAAAGCATCTGTGTATATATCTCTATCTGTGTATGTATATATACATATATACATACATATATATATATATATCCCTCCACCTCAATGCTAACCTGGACCCCCACGTACCCCTTAAGTGTGTGTACCTTAATGGGGGGTATTTCGATGAATTAAGGGTTTAGGGCTGAGGGATCCTAAGGCGCACTTGGAGGGGTCAGGAAATCCTCAGACTTCGGCCTTCCAGCGCTAGGGCTTGGGGGGTTTGACATTTTGGGATTAGGGTTTTGGGGCTTCAATCCTCAAAAACCCTAAACCCGAAATCCTTAATGGTCCCCTCTTGCTGGGACCCTCAACCCTGAAGCCCGAAATCCCAAACCCTGCTGAAGCTGAAAATCGCAAGCCTGAATTAAGCCTTAAACCCTGCAAGCTTTCAGAGCAAAAGGAACCCTACTCAACCCGAAACCCTCAACCTAAACCCTCAACCTAAACCCTAAACCCTAAACCCTAAACCCTAAACCCTAAACCCTAAACCCTAAACCCTAAACCCTAAACCCTCATCCTCAAACCCTGAATTCCTGAGCCCAGGGAGCTCAAAAGCCTCAGCACCCCTAGGGTGCAAAGCCCCCCCCCACCCCTCGCCCAACTGCACCAGATTCCTGAAAAGGTTTGGGGAGGGGTCTCCGGACACCTTTGCTTTGATCTTGGGGCGGGGAGGGGTGGGGCTAACGCCAGCAGCGCCAGATGTGGCATCCCGACAACCCAAACCCTAAAGCCAAATTCTTCCCTAAACCCTAAACCCTAAACCCCAAACCCTAGACCCTAGACCCTAAACCCTAAACCCTAAACCCTAAACCCTAAACCATCCTCGCGCCAAGCCGCTCTGGACCGGCAAGAAAACCCTCCCCGGCGCCCAGATGTCGGCCCAGCTGCGACAGCCTCGGAGAAAGCCTAATATAGGGGCCTTGAAGGGTTTAGGGTTTAGGGTTTAGGGTTTAGGGTTTAGGGTTTAGGGTGTAGGGCGTTTAGGGTTTAGGGTGAGGGGTCGGAATAAGTACGAATAGTATTCCCTTATGGTCCCTTCTTATACTATAGTAGCCCCCAAAGCCCGGTTCTAACTATGAAGGCCCCTATATCCCTGATTCTGAGCAGGGAATGAGGGAATTAGGGTTTCGGGTTTGGGGTTTAGGGTTTCGGGTTTAGGGGTTGGGTTAGTACATTCTGTTCCGGTTGTAGGGCAAACAGGGTTCAATGGGATACCTCTCTTAGATCATGCCTCCTTGCCGTATGTGCCTCGCGCGTGTCCTAGCCCAGCAGCAGCCTCAGATCTAACCCAGTCCAGAGTAGGGTTTAGGGTTTAGGGTTTAGGGTTTAGGGTTTAGAGTTTAGGGTTTAGGGTTTAGGGTCTAGGGTTTAGGGTTTAGGGTTTAGGGTTTAGGGTTTAGGGTTTAGGGCTTAGGGTTTAGGGTTTAGGGTTTAGGGTTTAGGGTTTAGGGTTTAGGGTTTAGGGTTTAGGGTTTAGGGTTTAGGGTTTACACCACTCCAGAGTAAACACGGAGGAACATGGCATCTTACCCTAAACCCTAAACCCTGAACCCTAAACCCTACACCCTAAATCCGAAGCCTTACAATCCTTGCAGCTCCGGCTTCCTGCCCAGAGTGGTGTGGGACTCTCTCGGAGACAGGAGGTGTCAAAAAGCTGGGGTCTAGAAGCCCTAAGCCCTAAAACCCTAAGCCCTAAGCCCTAAGCCCTAAACCCTAAGCCCTAAACCCTAAGCCCTAAACCCTAAAACCCTGAACCCTAAACCCTAAACCCTGAACCATCCTCGCGCCAAGCCGCTCTGGGCCGGCAAGAAAACCCTCCTAAACCCTAAACCCTAAGCCCTAAACCCTAAACCCTAAACCCTAAACCCTAAACCCTAAACCCATCGGGGGCCCCCAAGGTGACTTCGGGAGACCTGGGGTCTCCCTTGTCGGTGCCCATTTCGGCCGAGCGGCGCCGTCACCAGCTTCGCACCTTGCTTTTAGCGCACGTCCTAAACTACGACTTGCTTAAGAACCTCCTCCCCCCCCCAAAAAAAAAACATGCAAAGATAGTAATAACCCCCATATTACCCTTATAAGGAAGAATCTTGTTTTTTTTTTGTGTGTGTGTGTGTGTTATTTTTTTTGGGGGGGGTTCTTAAGCAACTAGTAACGGAGCATTCCCCAAAACACGGCTTCGGCCCTGTCTTCGGTAAGACCCCGGCGGAGCTCGGCATCGCGAGCTTCCTCGGTGTTCTTCGTGAACCTCGACCGGTATTTCGGTTTAGGGTTTAGGGTTTGGGGTTTAGGGCTTAGGGCTTAGGGCTTAGGGTTTAGGGTTTAGGGTTTAGGGCTTAGGGTGAACCTTCAAAGGGGCGGCTCCGAGGTTCAGAGTTTCGGGAGGCTCGAGAAAAGAACGCAACCTAACGCAACTATGCTTCAAGAGTTCATGGTGGATGCGAAAGTGGGCTAGTTTACCCGGTGAAGGCTTTTGCTGGCTCTTTCCTTGGCGGCTTGAAGTCTGTCCTGCACAGAGCTGCTGTCGCCGCCGCAGCCAGCATCACCCCAGGTGACCAAAGTGCCATCTCCCAGCACCGCCGCCATTGCGCCGTTCGTGCCCTGAACCTGCTGTACGTCCTGGAGCTGGCCACGCACGGAGCGGCTGTCGCCGCCGGCATGGTCCGCGCCCCAAGTCACCACGCTGCCGTCCGCACGGATCGCGGCGAAGGCAAAGCCGGAAGACTGGATCTGCTGGACATCCGTGAGTTGGCTGGCAACGGTGCTACAGTCCCCTCCTGCAGAGGCATCACCCCAGGACACAACGGATCCATCCTCCAGAAGGGCAGCAAAGGCGCCATTCCAGGAAGCCTGGATCTGCAGCACGTTCTTCAGCCTCTCTTGCACCGCGCTGCTATCACCACCACAGTCGGCATGCCCCCATGTAACCACCGACCCATCCCCAAGCAGCGCAGCGAAGGCACTCTCGGAGGACTGGATCTGCCGCACGTCCCGCAACCGGTCACCCACGGCCGATGTGTCGCCTCCAGCCAGGGCCCAGCCCCAGCTAACCACGGTGCCGTCGCCCCGGAGGGCGGCGAAGGCCCCGGTCCACGTCGCCTGGATGTGCCGGACATCTCGCAGCTGCTCGGCGACGCTGGTGGTGTCGGCGCCGTATTCTTTGTGGCCCCAAGCAACCACGGAGCCGTCGCGCAGGACAGCAGCGCAGGCGCCGTTGGAGGCAGAGACCCTCCGCACATTCTGCAGCTTCGCTTGGACGGGTTTGCTGCCCCAGCACACAGTCGTCCCGTCAGCCAGGGTAGCAGAAAACGCTACCCCAAAGGCTTTGAGCTCCAGCACGTTGAGCAGCTGGTCTTGGACCGCACTGCTGTCACCGCCAAAGTCTTCATCGCCCCAGGCAACGACTGATCCGTCCGAAAGCAGGGCCGCAAAGGCCCCATCGGATCCACAGATTTGCTGGACATCATGGAGCTGCTCCTGCACAGCACTGCTATCAGCTCCGAAATCCACGTCTCCCCAGGTCTCCACCCGCCCATCCTCGCACAGAAGGGCAAAGGCCCCGATGGTTGAAACAACCTCAGCATGGCGGACAATGGCCCCAAGAGTCGCTCCGTCCCGAAGACCCGCTTCGGCAAGTGTGCAGGTGCCCTGGAGGACAGCCCCCGAGTTGGAGATCAGCCTGCTGATCCCCACTCCCAGCTCCTTCTGTGCTGCCTGTCTCCTCGGGTGATCGGGGAGCTCTTACAAACATAAGAAAAACTGGGGAACATGTAAAAAAACACAAGATATACTTCTGTCCTCTTGCAAACTCTGGGAAAAAAGACAGAACAATGCCAAGAACACCGCAGCGTCAAGGCTTCCACCAGGCAGTCTTCCCCCTGTGTGATGCAAGCACTCTGCCCACTCAGCAAGGCCACGTGAACGGAGATCAACATTGTTCACCATGAGCGCACGACGCACCCTAAACCCTAAACCCTAAACCCTAAGCCCTAAGCCCTAAACCCTAAACCCTAAACCCTAAACCCTAAACCCAAAACCCATCCACCCCTAGAATCATCTTCAAGGCCCATACCAAGAAGGGTCTTGGATTGCAGTACGGACCACATCTAGACCCACGAGTAACCTAGGAATAAACAGGGTACCCTGTTTGGTTTTAAAGTTTAGGGTTTAGGGTTTAGGATTTAGGGTTTAGGGTTTAGGGTTTAGGGTTTAGGGTTTAGGGTTTAGGGTTTAGGGTTTAGGGTTTAGGGTTTAGGGTTTAGGGTTTAGGAGGGAACCCCCACCCCAAAAAAAGGAAATCAGGCCTAGGGTCCTGGACATGACTACCCGACCTGTGATTATGATTAGATGCCGTACTCCATCAGCCAGATTCGACTGCCATGCTCGATGCCGAATGGCTGGAGGAGGCACTGCCCCCTCAACTCTAAAACCCATCAACCCCCCTACACCCTAAACAAATCCTAACCCCGAAAACACTACACCTTCACCCCTACCCCCTCACCCCTCAGCTCTGAACCCTAAACCCCAAAACCCCTCGGCTTGGCTTGGGGACGTAGGGTTCATCAGCTCATGGCTGGCCCTCAATATGCTGAACCCTGAAACCTACACCCCAAATAGGGCTTTAGGGAGGCTTTAGGGGCAGGGGTTTAGGGAGGGTTAAGGGCTAAGGGTTGAGGGCTGAGGGTTTTTCAGGGTTTAGGGTTTAGGGTTCAGGGTTTTTTGCCAAGCCACCCGGCAATTGCCGGAAAGATGCCGAAGCTCTTGACCTATTGGGGATTAGGGTTTAGGGTTTAGGCTTTTAGGGTTTAGGGTTTAGAGTTTAGGGTTTAGGGGTTAGGGGTTAGGGGTTAGGGTTTAGGGTTTAGGGTTTAGGGTTTAGGGTTTAAGGTTTAGGGTTGAGGGTTTAGGGTTTAGGGTTCAGGGTTTAGGGTTTGGGGAAGAGAAGCCAGGTTGAAGGGCATGACTCAACACTTCGCTTCCACCACTTAAGCAACCCCGAGCCCTCACCCTCAATTGCAGCTTCAAATGAACAAACCTTGGTATGTATATGTGTATTATTGGTATTATTATTATTTCTGATATTTATATGTATATCTGGCGAATATCAGATTTCCAGCCCAAACCTTCCAAGATTTCCCGGCTTCCAGATTTCCAGATTTCCAGATTTGCGCCCTGCAACTTCCCAGATCAGAATTCTTGGTGCTCGTAAGGCGACGACTTGGAAATCTGGAAGGCTCTGGGCTGCAAATCTGGGGGTTTACGAGAATAGGGGGCCCCCAAAATAGCCCCCAGATGGCCGGATGCCCTTAAAACAAGGACAGAAATAAGTACTCCCTATCTTCCGAAACCTCCAGCTAGACAAATCGCAAACCCCTAAAACCCCTAAGACCCCTAGCCCTAAACCTTAAACCCTAAACCCTAAACCCCTAAGCCCTAAAACTCTAAGCTGCATGGCCGCCTTCTCAGCCGTCTCGTCGGGGGCCGCCAGCGCGGGCGCAGGGAACTCGGCGTCGATCCAGGCCTGTCAGAGAGATCAAGAACTTTGGGTCTGAGGGTTTAGGAAGGTGGAAGGTTTAGGGTTTAGGGTTTAGGGTTGAGGGTTTAGGGTTGAGGGTTGAGGGTTTAGGGTTTAGGGTTTAGGGTTTAGGGTTTAGGGTTCGATTTAGGGTTTAGGGTTTAGGGTGTAAGGTTAGGGTTCAAGGTTGAGGGTTGAGGGTTGAGGGTTTACGGTTTAGGGTTTAGGGTTCAGCGAGTGTGATAGCTACGCATGGCGTTATGTTTTACACTTTCCGTAGGTGTGAGGACAAATGAAGGGGGTGTGATGTAAAATAATCCGCAGAAAAGAATTGAAACTCGAAGTGTGGGGAGAAATGAGTGAGGTGAGAGGAGAAATAAGGGGGCTGAGATTTAACATAATTGAGAGTAGAGTTGAATGTCGAAGTGTGAGTACAAATGAGGGGGGGTGGGATTTAGAAATATCTCTGAGAGAAGAGTTGAAGGTCGAGGTGTGAGGACAAATGAGGGAGGTGTGATTCAAAATAATCCGCAGAAAAGAATTGAAACTCGAAGTGTGGGGAGAAATGAGTGAGGTGAGAGAGGAGAAATGAGGGGGGTGAGATTTAACATTTAACATAATTGAGAGTAGAGTTGAATGTCGAAGTGTGAGTACACATGAGGGGGGGTGGGATTTAAAAAACATCTCTGACAGAAGAGTTGAAAGTAGAGGTGTGAGTACAAATGAGAGGTGTGAGGACAAATGAAGGGGGGGTGATTTAAAATAATCGGAGAGAAGAATTGAAACTCGAAGTGTGGGGAGAAATGAGTGAGGTGAGAGGTGAAATGAGGGGGGTGAGATTTAATATAATTGAGAGTAGAAATGAATGTCGAAGTGTGAGTACAAATGAGAGGGGGTGGGATTCAGAGATATCTCTGAGAGAAGAGTTGAAAGTCGAAGGTGTGTGAACAAATGAGGGGGGTGTGATTTGAAAAAATCCGGAGAGAAGAATTGAAACTCGAAGTGTGGAGAAATGAGTGAGGTGAGAGGAGAAATGAGGGGGGTGAGATTGAGTATAATTGAGAGTAAATCTGAGAGAAGAGTTGAAAGTCGAGGTGTGAGTACAAATGAGTGGGGGTGAGATTTAACATAATTCAGAGTAGAGTTGAATGTCGAAGTGTGAGTACAAATGGGGGGGGGGTGGGATTTAGAAATATCTCTGAGAGAAGAGTTGAAGGTCGAGGTGTGAGGACAAATGAGGGGGGTGTGATTTAAAATAAACCGGAGAGAAGAATAGAAACTCGAAGTGTGGGGAGAAATGAGTGAGGTGAGAGGAGAAATGAGGGGGGTGAGATTTAACATATTTGACAGTAGAGTTGAATGTTGAAGTGTGAGTACAAATGAGGGGGGGTGGGACTTCCAAATATCTCTGAGAGAAGAGTTGAAAGTCGAGGTGTGAGTACAAATGAGTGGGGGTGAGATTTAACATAGTTGAGAGGTGTGAGTACAAATGAGTCGGGGCGAGAGTTAGCATAATTGAGAGTAGAGTTGAATGTCGCAGTGTGAGTACAAAGGAGGGGGGGGGGGTGGGATTGAACAAGACCTCTGAGAGAAGAGTTGAATGTCGAAGTGTGAGTACAAATGAGGGGGGGGGTGAGATTTAACATAATTGACAGTAGAGTTGAATGCCGAAGTGTGAGTACAAAGGAGGGGGGGTGGGATTTAACAAGACCTCTGAGATAAGGGTTGAATGTCGAAGTGTGAGTACAAATGAGGGGGGGTGAGATTGAACATAATTCAGAGTAGAGTTGAATGTCGAGGTGTCAGTACAAATGAGGGGGGGTGGGATTTAGAAATATCTCTGAGAGAAGAGTTGAAAGTCGAGGTGTGAGTACAAATGAGTGGGGGTGAGATTTAACATAATTCAGAGTAGAGTTGAATGTCGAAGTGTGAGTACAAATGGGGGGGTGGGATTTAGAAATATCTCTGAGAGAAGAGTTGAAGGTCGAGGTGTGAGGACAAATGAGGGGGGTGTGATTTAAAATAAACCGGAGAGAAGAATTGAAACTCGAAGTGTGGGGAGAAATGAGTGAGGTGAGAGGTGAAATGAGGGGGGTGAGATTTAACATAATTGAGAGTAGAGTTGAATGTCGAAGTGTGAGTACAAATGGGTGGGTGGGATTTAGAAATATCTCTGAGAGAAGAGTTGAAAGTCGAGGTGTGAGGACAAATGAGGGGGGTGTGATTTATCGGCGCAAAAATAGTTTCTGAATCTCGCGGAATAGTTTCTGAATCGGTTGAAAATAGTTCCTGAATCGCGCGGAATAGTTTCTGAACCGCACGGAATAGTTTCTGAACCGTAGTTTCTGAATCGCGGGAGTTTCCTGAATCTGAGCAAACAGTTTCTGAATCGGTTCGAAATAGTTTCTTAATCCGAGAGAATAGTTGCTGAACCGCAGTTTCTGAACCGGACCAAGTAGTTTCTGAATCGGACGAAATAGTTTCTGAACCGTAGTTTCTGAATCGGGGGTAGTTTCTGAATCCGTGTTTGTTCCCCCAATAAAGCCTTAAGTCCGCTTCACAAACACAAACCCTAAACCCTAAACCTTAAAGCCCTAAACCCTGCATCAAAAAAACCCTAAACCCTAAAGCCTAACTTGGGGGTCTTAATTACTAATCGTATTCCTTTTGGCCCCTTGTATAATTATACTCCAATAAACCCCCCAAACCCTATTGCGCGATTTGTAGAAAGTGGAAGACGCCGAAGCCCCAAACCCTATTCTAATGATTCAGGCCTATATTACGTCCGCTTTACAGACACAGGCTCCTAAACCCTTAACCCTTAACCCTAAACCCTAAACCCTACACCCTAAACCGACACAGGCTCCGGCCAGGATCTCGGACGTTTCCACGTGCGGCTCGCCCTTGTGACAGACGCAGGGCATCCTCCCTCGGCACTCCTGCGTGGCACTCCACTTGGAGGTTCAGGCTACTTGGTTTAGGGTTTAGGGTTTAGGGTTTAGGGTTTAGGGTTTAGGGTTTTTTGGGTTTTTGGGTTTTGGGGTTTTTGGGTTTTAGGGTTTAGGGTTTAGGGTACTTAGTAACCCAAGTACAAGTGCCGTTATAACCCACTTACAAGCCCCTGGAGTGCCCTAATGGTCTATAGCTGGGTTACTAAGGACCGTTCAAAGTGGTTACTAAATACCATGAACCTCCAAGCTTCCCAGGCTTTGGGAGTTGGGATTAAGATTAGGGTTTAGGGTTTAGGGTTTAGGGTTTAGGGTTTAGGGCTTAGGATGTAAGGTTTGGGGTTTAGGGCCATTGAACTGCCGCTGCGGTTACAGGGCCTACCACCACCAAACTCGAAGGACTTGAGGATTTACAGGCTTGGAGGGCATAGAGGCTTAGAGAGCTCTACTGAACCACTCCCTGTGTGGGAGCGCAGGGAACGCTGCTCTTACTGCGACTCCAAACTGTTGGAGGTTCGCTTCGCAGGTTCTGGAATCCCAAAGCCCCAGACTTACCTTAATCCCTGTTCTCCCAGGAAGAAACAAGGATGCTTTTCGTTCATATATAAGAAAGCCCATAACCCAAAAAGCAAAAAGGGATCCCTAACACTGATCGAGTTACCTCCCCAGCAATTCACTCAAAACCCCCCCCTGCCTGGGCTTTGCCGGAAGCATGTCAGGGCTTGGGGTCCAGTCTCCAAACCCTAAACCCTAAACCCTAAACCCTAAACCCTAAACCCTCAATCCCCAGATAACAGAATGAGCGGCAGTCCTCTACCAGCCAGCTTGGCTTCGTTTCCTGGTTTCGGGGGGCTGAGACTTGGCTGCATTTGGGGGTTTGCGACAATAGGGGGCCCCCCAAAAGAAAACCAAATAGTAGGAATCCCGTTATAATAAGGACCCCAATAAGGTACCCCCAATATCGGAAACCCTAAACCCGAAACCCTAAACCCATTTCATGAAAGTGCCCATTCTGGCTCAGCAGCAGTTCTTTGGCTTTTGCTGGAAGATGACTTCCTCTTCCGGGTGCTGCTGTAGGCCACCCAAACAAAAGCATAGGCGTACATACAACCCATTGCGAAGTACACTTTCAAGTCTCGAGGCCGCACCTCAATCTGTAGCAAGCATGATAAAATTTTAAAGCCGGTCATCGAACCTCATTTCACTGGGAACAGACACCGACCAATTGTACTAGCTCAGCCTTCTTCCATGTGTACCACCAACCCATACAGTGCTGGCCAGGACCATGGTCAGCTCTCAACAGATATGCAGCAAAGTGTTTCACGGATGTAGGCAGAAGGCTGCTCAACCAACACCACGCACACTTTAAGATGCCCTCGATGGCCGGACGCTGGGATTTGCACAAGCGCCTCTTGCAACATCGCTGGGTCGCAACAGGTGTGTTAGCAATCCATAAGATGCTGTTTGGGACTCCTCTGTGCTGATCAACATCGAGGCCGACCGGCTCGCATGAGTCCCAAGCCCCGACTTTATAAGGCATGCGGCATCATCTCATCAACCCATGATATGGGGTCAAAACCGTCTCTTGGCAGAGCGCTAGCAGAACACATCAAGAGAAGCGTCCTCGGTACAGGGGACAACTTCATACTCCACATTCTTCAGACCTGACCATGGCGGAAAAGCAGCATCCAGGATCTGCCTAAACCCTAAACCCTAAACCCTAAACCCTAAACCCTAAACCCTAAACCCTAAACCCTAAACCCTAAACCCTAAACCCTAAACCCTAAACCCTAAACCCTAAACCCTTCAGGTTTCTGGTTCGGGGTTTTCGGGGTTCAAGGGCCTTGGGCATCTGGGGTGCAGGATTTAACCTGAAACTCCCTATAAACCCTAAACCGCCAAGCTCCAAGGGTTTTAGGGTTTCGGGCTTAGGGTTTCGGGTTTAGGGTTTAGGGTTTAGGGTTTAGGGTTTAGGGTTTAGGGCTAGCGCCCTTCCACTCTGAACCCTATGCTTGCCGACGCCGGGGCGCCCAGCGCCATCCGCACGGAGTGCGCGAAGGGGCAGTCGCCCAGCGATTTGCCGTCGGGACCCGCCTACCGGAGCCGTGGGGTCGTGGCCTTTCCGGGTTCCCTAAACCCTAAACTACCCTGAAGTTTTCAACCCTAAACCCTGAACCCTAAACCCTAAACCCTAAACCCTAAACTTTTCAACCCTAAACCCCAAACCCTAAACCCCAAACCCTAAACCCTAAACTTTGAAACCCTAAACTTTTAAACCCCAGACCTTGGGGCTCCCCTTGAGTTTAGGCAACCGAGGCTGCCAAGGCATGGGCTGTCGGATGCTGGTTTTAGGGTCTAGGGTTTAGTCTAGGGTCTAGGGTTTAGGGTCTAGGGTCTAGGGTTTAGGGTTTAGGGTTTAGGGTTTAGGGTTTAGGGTTTAGGCACGGAGATACAGAAGGCCGCTCAACCAAATCTTGGCTGCACGTACTAGGGTAGCTATAAATTAAGTTTTTAGCTGCCTCATTAAGAAACCCAATAAACCCAAAAAGGCTAAGTTTCTAAAGTTACGGTAAAGCATCACAAAAAAAACACACGCATACTTTGAAGCCCTCAATGGCCGGGCGCTGGGATTTGCACAAGCGCCTCTTGCAACATCGCTGGGTCGCAACAGGTGTGTTAGCAATCCATAAGATGCTGTTTGGGACTCCTCTGTGCTGATCAACATCGAGGCCGACCGGCTCGCATGAGTCCCAAGCCCCGACTTGCTGCGGCGGTTTAGGGTTTAGGGTTTAGGGTTGAGGGTTGAGGGTCGAGGGTCGAGGGTCGAGGGTCGAGGGTTGAGGGTTGAGGGTTGAGGGTTTAGGGTTTACTCTTCTGTAGGGTTTAGGGTTTAGGGGTCAGCGGCGCCTGTATTCAGCTCTTCCGAGTCATGGAGGCTCCCCCACATGCCAATCATTGCATCTCAACACACCCTGAAGCTATGCTGCTTGCAAGTTTCACACCTCCCTCTCTTCTTCTTCTTCGTCTTCTTCTTCTTCTTCTTATTCTTCTTCTTCTTCTTCTCCTCCTCCTCCTCCTGCTTCTTCTTCTTCTTCTCCTCCTCCTCCTGCTTCTTCTTCTTCTTCTTCTTCTTCTTCTTCCTTCTTCTTCTTCTCCCCAATATCACCACCTCCCTCTCTCTCTCTCTCTCTCTCTCTCCCTGAGCCCTGAACACGAATCTCTGGCAGTTCAGGGTTTCGAGTTTAGGGCTCGAGAGTTCGGGTCTAGAGCTTAGGGGCTGGGTACCACAGGGAGACCCATGACCTGACACTGGCCTTGCAGTACAGCGTTGTGGCGGCCGGCCTTGTTGGGGTTTAGGTCTTAGGGTGTTAGGTTCTCGGGTTTAGGGTTTTAGGTTTTAGGTGTTGGGGTTTAGGGTTTAGGGTTTAGGTTTTAGGCTATAGGTTTTAGGGTTTAGGGTTTAGGGTTTCGGGTTTAGGGTTTAGGGTTTAGGGTTTAGGGTTTAGGGTTTAGGGTTTAGGGTTTAGGGTTTAGGGCTTAAGGTTCAGGGTTCAGGGTTCAGGGGTTCAGGGTTTAGGGTTTACCCGAACCATGCTGGCGAGCTAGCGGCCGCAATTTTGTCTGCCAGAAAACCTCTCGCCACGGTCTAGCTTTGGGGTGAAAGTCTGACCCCGATTCCCCCGAAACCTACAACCACAACCTAAAGCCCCTCAAATCCGGAACCCCCTACTGGGTTTAGGGTTTACCCTAAACCCTAAACCCTAAACCCCAACCGTCCTAAACCCCTTAAACTCCTGAAACCTCTAATGCTGGCAACCCCGGCCCTGGGGGATCAGAGCCTCCGTCCAGCACGAGCTTTCCGACTTTTGGGGCTGAAAGTTTAGGGTTTTGGGTTGAGGGTTAAGGGTTTAGGGTTTAGGCCTTAGGATTTAGGATTTAGGGTTTAGGGTTTAGGGTGGCTTAGGGTGGGCTTAGGGTGGGCTTAGGGTGGTTTCGGGATTACAGGCTGGGCTTAGGGTTTTTTGGGCCTTAGGGTGGTTGGGAGTTAGGGTTTCCAGCTCAGGTTCAGTTGTTTAGGGTTCTTTGGTACTGGTTTTTGGCTTTGGGGGATGCTTTCAACCAAGACCCAGGGGAGGGATTGCGGTGCTGAGATTTCAGGATCTTAGCGGCCATGCAGCGGGGTGCTTGATCTCAGTTGCGAGGGTTTAGGGCTTCGGGTTTGGGCTTTAGGGTTCGGGGGCGCTACTTGATGTGTCCGGCGCAATCTATTCCTTAGAGCCTTAGAGGTTAGTTTGGGGCTGTAGGGATTCAGCGGGTCTCACCCTAGGCCCTACACCCTAAACCCTAAACCCTCAACCCTAGACCCTAGAACCTAAACCCTAAACCCTACCGTGCGCAAGCTGCCTTGAAGGAATTGCTTCTGACCCCTGGGCCTGAGGCCACTACCCGGCTTGGGTAGTAAGCCTCCTGGGCTCCGCCAGCACAACTACTTGGCTAGGATGGCCCTTTAACACCCTCTGGAAAGAAAAAACTCTTGAGGTTTAGGGTTTAGGGTTTCGGGTTTAGGGTTTAGGGTTTAGGGTTTAGGGTTTAGGGTTTAGGGTTTAGGGTTTAGGGTTTAGGGTTTAGGGTTTAGGGTTTCGTCCTGAGTATGACCCTCTTAACAACCCAAGAAGGGAGAACAGGACATTGTCTCAAGGGCCGACCCTATTTGGGGTGAAACGCATCGCGAAGCTTGTGCTCGGCTTGAAAATCGGCTCGTGACAGGGAAGGAGACCTGGCAATGCTGGGGGGCTGAAGGGTTTAGGGTTTAGGGTTTAGGGTTTAGGGTATAGGGTTTAGGGTTTAGGGTTTAGGGTTTAGGGTTTAGGGTTTAGGGTTTAGGGTTTAGGGAGCTGAAGGAAGACCAACAGTGTCCCCCGTTTGTAGTCCCTACATACGTAGGATTGGAGCAACTTCGAAACCCAAATCTTGACAAAAAAAAAGCAGCTCTACTGATACAGGCCCCTATGTTAGCTTGTTTTCGGGTCTTGGGGGTGGGGGGGGGTTAGGGTCTCGAGTCAGGGTTGACAGACACAGCTCGGGCCCGAACGCCCAACACTTCTACTGCAAACCCTACAACCCTGAACCCTAAACTCTAAACCAAAGCCTCCACCCTAAAACCCTAACACCCTGCAACCTACAACCCTAAACCCTAAATCCTAAACCCCAAACCCTAAACCCTAAACCCTAAACCCTAAACCCTAAACCCTTCTTCTAAGGCCCAGGGATGCACCAGTTCAGAGCCCATCACCTTCCCCTACGCAAAGTTGTCTCATCTTCCATGAGCTATTTTGGGCGATGCATGGATGAAGGTCCATAGAACCTGAAATAAGCTAAGAACAGAATGTAACATAAGCTTTCTTAATACTTCACGATTATAATATATATATGGGTTGTTGTCAAAATGCTTGTTCCCGAAATTGACGTTAAATCGGAACTCCCTCGGTGCCGCCTTGTGTCCTGAAGGAAAAAGAAGCTGATTGAGATGGAGTAGCAAACGCGACATTTGAAGGATCCAAGCATGATTTCCTAGAAAGGGTGCTAGCGCGGACCATTTTTCAGGCGCTGCTGTCTGGAGTTCTGGCACGAGCGAAGGTTTCTCCGCTGTCGCCACTTGCGCGGCTCGAGCTCCAGCAAGCAAAGCGCTCTCGGTTCTATGGTGTTCCTTTGTGGTCTGCTAGAGGAGGAATGGGCCATGGTCTGCCGGGGGAGGTTGCGTTGACATTTTGCTAGCGCCGTGCTAGCGCGGCGCTAGCGCCAAACACTTTGCCGGATTTTCCAAGACCTGATACTACGACGTGATGAACGTCATCTTTTTCCTAGAACAACCTCTATCCTGGCAACAGGCGCCCCGTCAATTCATAACGAAGCGGCGCGGGGTTTTTACACCACCCCGGATGTTGTACGCATATTTCGGGTGGTGCGCCTGGCTGGGCCTTCTCAATCAATCTCTGTTGTGTTCGCTTAGTGGTGACATGCGAAACTTGAAATAATGTTTGTTGATTTTACCTAGCGCGAACCTAGCGTTTTCCTAGCGCCACACTGGGGTTTTAGGGGATCCCCCTCGGTGCCGCCTTATAGCAAAGACATGAAAATAGACCGGCCAAACCAATTAATGTAAATTAAAGTAACTGAGCAAACACGCGATTTTTGAACGCAACCCATATATATATATATATACATACATATACACATATATACATATATATATATATTATAATGTAATATCAGATAATATACTGTAATATAATATTGCAATCCAAGAATATTCTTCAGCAAGTCAACCCTAAACCTGGTGCTCCCAAGCGGCGCTTCCGGGTGGAGGTGGACTTCGCCCTCAGCCGCCCTGCGTGCAGCCGTGAGATTCCCCAGTTCCCGGCGCTGAGGGTTTTCGTAGCAGGAGCTCTACTAGAGCGGGGGGGAGGGTGTAGGGTTTAGGGTGTAGGGTTTAGGGTTTAGGGTTTAGGGTTTAGGGTTTAGGGTTCAGGGCTTCAGGGCTTCAGGGCTTCAAGTTGAGCATTTAGGGTTTCGTGTCTAGGGTTGACTGTGGAGCCCTCGGGCCCGAAACCCCAAACTCCAAATATTGAGAGGGGACAGCTTCGGGGCTTGAGGGGACTAGGCAGATCCACAGAGCAGCGACAACCAAATGAAGAGAAAGGCCGCTATGTCTGCATGGATCTCTCACCCCTCTGCTAGGCAGGGCTGCGCGCACGCGCACGCGCGTCCGAGGTGCACGCGCGTCCGAGGTGCACGCGCTACGCGGGCGCGTCGAGGCCGCACGCTGGGGTCCCGTTCAGAATTATACTATTTGTTACTACATTCTAGCATATGTATATTTTATGATATTCTATTATACTATACTATATTCAGTTGTTCTAAAGGCCAATGTTTGCGAGGCCTCCGGAGGCCTCGAAAAGGGGGTCCTGGAGGCTTTTTCCGGCTCAACATGACCTGTTTAGGGCCCAGGGCTGGCCACGCAACATGACCTTCTGGGGTTTAAGGGCTTGCCACACAAGCTGATCTTCGAAAGTTTAGGGTTTTCCTGCGAACCAAGCCGAAGAGCCCGAAAAAGAAGATGTTGCGTGGCAAGCCCTGGACCCCAAAAGGTCATGCTTAGGGTTTAGGGTTTAGGGCTTAGGGTTTAGGGTTTAGGGTTTAGAGTTTAGGGTGCATCGGGTTGTGGGGATGTTGAGGCTGTGGGGCTTCAGGTTTGCACAGGCCCCGCCTTTCACTCACTTTCCGCCTTCGTTGAGGCGTCAGAGTCGGAAGCGTTGGAGTCGTTGGATGCGTTCGCCGCACTCGGATCGGGCGTGGTGGTGTGGAAGGACCCCACCGGCCAGTAGGGATAGAACCTGGATGTGGATTTGGTGGGGTTTGGGGTTTGGGGTTTAGGGTAGGTTAGGGTTGAGGGTTGAGTTTAAGGGCTAGGGTTTGGGGGCTGAGGGTTTGGGGCTTAAGTTCCAAGGGTTTGGGGGTTTGGGGCTCTGGGGCTCCTCAAGACTCGCTGTGGCCAGTTCTCTACATTATGGTCTGTTGTCGGCGTCGGGGGGCACCATCTAGGTAACCCCAAAAGGGGAAGAACTGATCATCTGGTGGTCCGCAGGTCTGCGCGCAGCTTGAAACGGCATGTTCTTGGCACACAGACCATAACCGAGATCCGAGCTTGTGTATGGAGAAGTCGCATGCCTGAGCATGTGGAGGGTCAAGAAGACTCTTTAGACAGCTTAGGGTTTACTTGGAGGTTCAGGGTACTTAGTAAACTATAACTGCACATAAACCCACTTGTAAGCCGCTTAAGTACCCTAATGGGGTTAGAATTGAGTGATAAGTGCAGTTAGAATTGGGTTCCTAGGTATCATGAACCTCCAACTAGAGGGCATTATAGCATTTTAGGGTGTGGGAGGGTTTTGGGGCTCAAGGGCGTGGGACTTCAGCATGCGTTGCGTGGGCTTAGCAAACTTCTGCTGGCTGGCTGGGGTGCAGGTGCATGGATCGGGTGTCGGGTTGTTGGGTTAAGGGCCTAACAAGAATTCTGACGCGCGGCGGGATCTGGCAAAACCGGCTGCTCGGGGTATTTCCTGAGCTGCTTCTCATCAACATGTGCTTGCCACACGCATCGCCATGCTGCCTGCTCACCCAAGGCCAAAGGCAACCGCTTCTCGACTAGGCCAGGAGTCCGCTGGAACAGCATGTTGACGATGTCAATCCGTCGCTGGGCCTTGTCCACGTCTTCAATGCCATCCTTGCCACTGGCGCGAGACATGGAATACGCTTTAAGATTCGGAAGAGCTTCAGATGTG